TCAGATATTGAGCACTTTCATCCATAAATATAGCATAAATGAAAACAATGTTTATCATATATATATATATATATATGTGTGTGTGTGTGTGTGTGTGTGTGTGTGTGTGTGTGTGTGTGTATGTATATTATTCTTCATCAGTAGCACGACTTAGAGTTTCATGCACAACTAGCTATGTTATATTACATCAAGTACTATTTATTTATTTTACCAGCACTCTATGTGTATATATATATATATATATATATATATATATATATATATATATATATATATATATATATATATATAAAGATGTAAATGGTTCAAAGATGTTTTCTAATTATTTCATCCTAAGCAAGGCGATAATGCCACTGGAACACAGGCGTAACACTGAGTGAAAGTGAAATAGAAAAAAAAACTGTGAACAGAGAGGTTTGAGGTAAGGACAAAAGGTCAAAAACAAATTTTTGGATAACATTTTGAAGGTTCCAAATAGGATGACAAAAAAATAATAATAGGGAATAACCAAAGGGCTTTTGATTATTAATTAATAACGTAAAGATTTTTATGTTAAACCTTTTTTTTTTTATTAAGTTTGGGACATTCATGTATGCTCATTTTAGTGAATCTTTGGAGGTACGCGTATATATATATATATATATATATATATATATATATATATATATATATATATATAATGAAAATGTATAGTGATCCAAATCGCTATACACCTGAAGAAGCCTAGAGTGCACAACACCTGAAACGTTGTGATAACAGCAACAAAGATGAGGACAATAATCCGAAAATAAATAATGTAAATGATAACTCCTCATCCCAGAAATTCAGACAGAAAAATGATACATATAATATATTTATTTAAATAAATTATTGTTCAAAGTGATTTTTGTAAAAATCATAATTTTTAGTAAATATTTGGTATTTTTAAAGGAAAATAGTCATATTCAGAATTTTATTCATATGAATTTCTAAAAAGAATCTTATTTTTAATTTTATTCTGTGACGAAACAGAAATCCCAAAGATATGTTTTTTTTCCCTTTGCTTCCTTGTGTCATCATTTGTTTGTTCTTTTTTTCCTTTTGCTTCTGACTATTTTATTATTACTTACCCATTGCGTCCAATTTGAAGGAAGAGTTCCCAAAACAGCAAATATATTGAAATTCAGGAAGCACCACACAGGTATCCAATATATATCTTTATTTCAAATAATAAAACGAAACAAAAAATTACTGTAGAAATTGTCATATTGAAAAGAAGAATTACAAAAGGACAAGTTTTAATATAAGTTATCAATTTTTCATAATCATTTTGAATTTCGATTTTTCAAAGATTTTATTACTTTTTTTCTTATAAACATACATTACTTTTAAATTCCAGTAAACACTATTTTCGTAAATACATACGAAAAGAAATAAATAAATTATACTAGACTAGAATTGAGTGACCTAACTTTTCTGAAAAGCTTCTACCTGGATAAACTTTTATTGTTCAAACGAAGGGAGATTGTTTGATTTAATCCAGTCATTCCTACCTAATCGTGAAATGAAGGTCCTGACCCTTTCACACGAACGCGGATGTCACCCAAGGCACTATCCTGAATCCTCCACTGTTTCTGATATTCAAGTTCCCAAGGAGGTTTTTATGCAAATGAAACTGCCATTTACTCCTGTCTCAATAGAAAATCTGACAGAGCAGGCAAAGTAAACCTGGCTGCTGCTCTTGAAAAGGACCTGCAACCAGTGATTAAATGAGGCAGAAAATGGCTTATAAATTTTAACGACTCCAGAACAAAACCGCTCTCATTTAACCATCATAAAGAAACATTTCTGCCTGCCATGAGCATGGCTGATGGTAGACTCCAGGAAAGCAACACACTGAACCTTTATGGTCTCACGTTTTCAACTGAGTTGAAGAGATATCGAATAGCTTCATCCATTGCAAGGAAATTTGTGTCACTGTGTCGTGCCAGAAAAATGTTTCTCTTCAGAATCCATCTTGCACATTTACAAATCTGTCATTTGTCCGTGCATTGAATACTGTTGTGATATCTGGTCTGTTGCTTTTGCTCTACATCTAAAGATTCTTGAGAAAATCCAAAGACGAATCAGTAATATAATCGATCCTGACTTGGTATCTCGACTTCAGCCACTTTCTCACAGACGTGACGTGGTTTCCCTCTGTCTTTTCTAGAAATATTTTCATAGCAACTGCACTGATGAGCTTTTTCCGCTGATGCCACGATGAATTTAAGCGTGCTACTAGATTAGCATCTAGGTCTCACCAATTTACTCTTAAAATAGCTAAATGCTACGCCCACATCTACTCCAATAGTTTCTTGCACTTCCCACCTGTAGAACTCCCTTCCGTTTACTTGCTTTCCTGGTGACCAAAATCTTCAAAAATTTAATATATTTTATCTTCTTGAATTCCGTTCATCTTTTGTCCTTTCCTCAATCCTCCCTATACTCATTTTTCTCTTACTTTCACTCCCTGTAATCCTCTGTGTACTAGTGTCATTTCTGCCTTCCTTGGGGATAATTTTTTTTTTAAATGCAGTGAGCGACTAACTTGTTTGAATGTTACTTTCGTAAAGAAAAAATGGATTTTCTCTTGGACACAAAAAAAAAAGACATGTGAATTTGTCGCATGAAAATATCGGTTCTTTACTTAAATACTTGACATAGCAAATGATCAAGAACGGGAATGACAAATTCTTCGAGATGTGTGTTCTTCACCAGATCTTCGAACGACCTCTTGTTTCGCAATACTTCCTGTCTAGCTAATTGCTTCAACAATTTCTGGATATTGGAATCAAAAGCGAAACTTTTTTTTTTTTATGTCGGAATACATAATTGAACTGAAAGTTTGTGCAAGGTCATCAAAATCCAAGGAAACTGTTGTTTTAACATTTTACTCCTGAGCAAGTCAATAAAGTTATTCAACGGGTTAGTAAATGAGAATAAAAAAAAACACAGTTAATGAAAGCAAACATTAAAAGAACAAGAATTAAGAAGACCAAAGATAACAATTGGCATTGTTTTTATATTTTAAAAGACCAATGATGATTGGCAAGTAAGAAACTAGGAAAGAGTTCCACGAGAGAGAAATACGAGAAACTGTTAGCATAGAACTTGCAGTTTATGTAGTCATTTCAACTATAAGATAATGAGTTACTACCGCCAATCTAGTCCATCAAATTTATAGTGTAGGTACCATAGCGGAAGGTTCATCAAAACAATAACCATAAAAATATTTATAAAAAAAAAAGGTAGAGAGAGGCTACATTATGGCAGTGGAAACGTGACTGAAGCTGAGATACCAAGTCAGAACCAATAACATTGCAGATTCTTCTTTGGATTTTATCAAAAATCTCTAAATATATAGCAGAAGCACCAAACTAGATATGGCGGCATTTTTTTTTTTTTTTTGCTGAATAAATATGCTATGAATATATATAACTTAAAGTTTTATGTAAAAAAAAAGTTAGATAAATTGTTGCATTCATCTAACATATTTTAAAGTTTTTAAAATTACGTTCATCAGTTTGGTTTCGTTTTTAAACTAAATGTATTACGTGCAATAATATGAGCAATATATATTAATTACTTATGAAACTCATATCCTGTTATATTTAACAGCCCCCACGAAGGTTATATGTGGCACAAGGCCGAATTTAACGTGGGTCATCCGAGCCCGTAGGCTTGGCCAAAAAATCCCCGTAGGACCCGCATAAACGGGTTCGTGTCTGTCTACCTCCCCGGATGATACTCTGCCCTTCGGCACAACCTCATCCGGTTTCCTCTCCACCCAAGGCAGAAAATTCGACAGGAATAGTCACAGCCTCGGAAGAACAGTCTCGATCACTGTTCCCCTAGTGATTTTCCAAGCATAGCTTGGATGTGGCACAAGGCCGAAAGTAAGAGGTACCCAGTGAGGATCGAACTTACTACTCATTCGTAATTGCTCTAGCGGGACAAGCTCGCTAACCATTGCACCACTTCGAGGTGCCCAACTCATAACCCGTTTGGCAGCTCATATGACGCCAGACGATTCCGTTAGGTCTGTGATTAGAAAGGATCCGAATGCTTCGACATGGTTCTATGAATCTTAATTAAACAAAATTATTTTTTCGAATATATGTTGCAATTTAATAACCATTTCACGCAAAGGGTTTATCACAAACATACACGGATGCGTAAAGTACACAAATAGATTTTATAATAGAGCTAAGCCTTTTAAACAACACCATATTCCAATGGTCACTTTTACAAGATCAGACCAAAAATGGAGTGTTAATGCTACTTCTCGACTGGAGCTTCCCAATCGTCACTTTTCAGCCTTTCCAGAATTAAGAAGTGTTTACGTGGCCTTGTGGACAACGAATTATTTTCAGCCTTACAGTCGCTTTAACACAAAGGAAACGTCGGAAGCCTTTCGCTATTTCCATGGCAAAAGTTCGGACGGGCTACATCTCTTCATTCAGTGAAATCCAGATCTTTGCAGTTAGGACCGGGACATGCCACGTCCAAAGAGTCGAATCATCTTTATTCTCTTGGTATCTCGTTAGTAAGAAGAAAGTTCACCCCAAACAGATTCTTCCCGAGAACTGCTACTTTTTGGAAACAGACTCCAGGGAGTGGGGATGCTTCCCTAATCACTGCAGACTTAAACTCCTCAAATTTAAGATCAACCGTTATTTTTCCTACATATCATAACAATTCCCACTTCCTTCATCCACTTATATCAAATTCAGAAAACTCACTCCTCTACCTTGAGTGGGTCTTGGGCCGTGATTGAACAGAAAACATTCTACAGCCAAATGTATTTTAAATTCTTTTCAGATATTATATTCCATATAATTATAAAATAGGCCGCTATTTTTGAAGATATAGTCACAAGAACTGCAGATAAATCAATCAAATACAAATATGTCGACACAGGTCAGGTTATATTATCTGTGTAAGATAAAAAGAGGCGGACGAAGCAAACTTTTATTCCAATGTTTTTGTTTTTTTTTTTCCTTGTACAATGCTTTCCTCGTGACAATTTTAAAGACCAACGTTTGACAGGTGGGTGAGAGGTTGACATTGTTTATGGACAAAATAAAGTTATAAATATCGAAGCAGACATCAATATGCCGACACATAATTATATTCAAAAGTCATAAAATAATGCATTTTGTTGAAGATAGTAACTGTCCTTATTCATCATTAGTTTAAAGTCTTCTATCTATCTATCTATCTATCTATCTATCTATCTATCTATCTATCTCAGTCTGTTCATATCTATAGATCTCAGTCTATTCATATCTATGTCAGTCCTTTCGTATCTATCTATCTATTTATCTATCTCAGTATTTTCATATCTATCTATCTATCTATCTATTTCAGTCTGTTCATATCTATATATCTATATATCTATCTATCTATCTATCTCAATCTATTCATGCCTATCTATCTCAGTCTGTTCATATCTATCTATCTATCTATCTATCTATCTATCTATTTCAGTCTGTTCATATCTATATATCTCAGTCTATTCATATCTATGTCAGTCCTTTCGTATCTATCTATCTATTTATCTATCTCAGTCTTTTCATATCTATCTATCTATCTATCTATCTATCTATCTATCTATCTATCTATCTATCTATCTCAGTCACTTCATATCTATCTATCTATCTATCTATCTATCTATCTATCTATCTATCTCAATCTATTCATGCCTATCTATCTCAGTCTGTTCATATCTATCTATCTATCTATCTATCTATCTATCTATCTATCTATCTATCTATCTATCTATTTCAGTCTGTTCATATCTATATATCTCAATCTATTCATATCTATGTCAGTCCTTTCGTATCTATCTATCTATTTATCTATCTCAGTCTTTTCATATCTATCTATCTATCTATCTATCTATCTATCTATCTATCTATCTATCTATCTCCGGATTTTCGTAGCTATCTATCTATCGACCTATCTGTCTATCTCAGTCTATTCATAACACAGTCTATTCATATCTATCTTAGTCAATTCATATCTATTTATATCAGTCTATTCATATCTGTCTATTTATATTTATCTCAGTTTATTTATGCCTATCTCTTAGTCTATTCATATCTATGTATTTATTTATCTATATCTTTCTATCTCAGTCTATTCATATGCATTTATGTATGTATCTATATTTTTCTATTATTATCTATCTACCAACCTACCTACCTATATTTCTCTATCTATCTATCTTTCTCTTTTTTTCTTTCTCTCTCTCTTTCACACACACACACACTATATATATATATATATATATATATATATATATATATATATATATATATATATATATATAAGTCCGATAATTATTTAATATGTTTTCAGTTTATACGTTATTAAATATTTTATTATTTATTAAATAAATTGTGTCAAATAAAATAACGTATGAACAGATATATATATATATTTCTCTATCTATCTATCTATCTATCTATCTATCTATCTATTTATCTATCTATCTATCTATTTCTGACTCTCTATATCTTTCTGTCAATATCTCTATATCACTATCAATCACTACCTTTCTATCTTTATCTATCTATCTATCTATCTATCTATCGATATTTTCTTTTTCAAGCAAGTTTTATTAAACAATACCAACAACGTATTAATTTGTTTTATATCAGAATTAATTTTCTATTGTTCATTTATTGTATCCATATTTATTCTATCCATCCGGGGTCTTTGGACTGTTATTACAGTCGTTATCAACATTACTAGATTTTGCGTGTTATTAAAATTACGTGTTTCGGAAATCCCGGAGTTTCTAAGCTTATTGGAATCAATTTTCAAGCCACTAAGAGGTGACGTCATTAATAACAGTCAAACTGATTTCTACGTGTATTTTTTCATACACTTCAATATACTCCCATATTCTCTACATGCAATGTGTGAAAGCACATCCGATATTCTCCCTTCGTCAGCCGCCAACCAGGGGAGGTAACACAGTTTCAGTGGCTGAGGCGGTATTGCCACACCTGGTGCCACCAACAGCTTTTGTCACCGGACAGTGTATTTTATTTATTTTATTTTTTTTATATTATTTATTTATTTATTTATTTATTTTTTTGTATTCGTGTCAATATTGGAATGTGTGTAAATAAAAAGTACGACAAAATTCAGTAAAATTATTAATCTTGATATGACTGTAGGAACAGTCGAATATACTCGGATGGATACAATACTTATACAATACACCATTTGCACAAACCCGTTAGTCAGGTCATGCGCTACTGTTCTCTGTCCCTCTTGCCTTCAATATGTCCTGTGAGTGTTAAATTTTCTATGCCATCTAATTACGTGTCCTAGAAAGTTGAATTGTCTCTTTCTGATGTTAAGTGTTTTTTTGTTTCCATTTTCTTTGAAACGTCATCGTTTCTCAGTATCGTCCATGACATTCCCAACATGATTTTTGAGAACAAAATTTCTGTTACCTCAAGCCTCTTCTTTGTGATGAGATTGTAACTGCCACTTATACGCCAACAGCTTCTTCTCTCGCACTTCCCGACAGTGGAACTCCCTTCCTCTTACTTGCTTCCCTGATAACTATAATCTTCAAAAATTTAAATGTCATATCAATCGACATCTTCTGTTGCCTTGATTCCCGTTCTTCTTTTTTTTATCCTCCTTCGTTCCTCTTTTTATCCTTTCCTCAACCCTCCACATATATCCAGTCTTTTCCCTTACTTAGACATTCTGTAGGCCCTTGCGTACTAGTGGCACTCCCGCCTTGCTTGGGATGAATTGTTTAAAAAAAAAAAATTCAGTGCCATATAGGAGTATCGCTATTCCATAATATTTCTGTATTCTTTACTTTGTTGTTAAAGAATTTTTCCTCTTTCTTTTCTTTTTTTTTTTTTTTAATCCGTTTTACTCCAAGCAAAGCAGTAAAGCCACTAATACACACAAGTTGTTGTAGGATGTGAAAAAATTAGGAGCAGAAACATTAATAAGCGGGAAGAGGACAGTAGATAGCGATTGACATTGCATTTAGTTTTTTGCAGATTAATGTTGGCTGGAAAGCATGAGAGCAGGAAGGGAGTTCCACAAGCAAGAAGTGCGAGAAAATAAACTGTTAGCATAGAATTTCCAGCTATATCTCGCCAACTCAGCTGCAAATTGATGAGATCTCGACGCCAGTCTAGTGCTGCGCTTAAATTGAAAAGGTCCAGGTGCCATAACGAAGAGTGCATCTGATCAATTACCATGAAAGTATTTATAGAAAACACACAGAGAGAATCAACCTTACGGCGGTGGGAAAGTGAATGAAGGCGAGTTGCCAGATCAGGACCACTAATATTACTGATTCTTTTTTAGATTCTATCAAGGAGCTCAAGGTAAATAGCAGGGGCACGTGAGCATATGTGTCAGCAATATTCTAAGGGTGGACGAATGGTAGACTTATAGATATGTATGATAGATTCCGGAGAGAACACTGTCCGCACGACACGCACGCCACAGTGTACCAATTTTCTTAGTAGCTGACCTAACAATGGCTTCATATAGTCTTTCTACTTCATGTCAGCTGAAAACGTCAGCCCAAGAAGGCGCAACGTGTCACATTCCTTGAGGTTAGCATCAGCCATGCTGATGAAAGGCAAGGATCTTTCAGATTTTGGAAAACACCTTTCGCTATACCAATGCGCAAAGCAATAAGGCCACTAAGACGCAAGTTGTTACTGATTATAGGAGAATATAAAAACAATAAAAGAACAGGAATTATGAAAACAGAAAATAACAACTGACAAAATTTTAATTTTTTTAAGATCAAATATAATCGGAAACAAGAACTCAGAAGAAATTTCCACAAGCAAGAACTGCAACATAGAAAACAGTTAACATAGAACTTCCGGTTACACCTAGTTATTTCAAATTGTAAATTGATGAGACCTTCTCGCCACTCTAGTACTGCGCTTAAATTCATAAAGTCTATGGACCAAAGATGAAAGAATGTCAGAACAATTACCATGGAAATATTGTATGAAGAGACAACGAGAGGTACGTTATGGTGGTGGGAAATTGACTGAAGCGGAGATGCCAGGTCAGGATAAATAAAATTGCAGCTTTCTTCTTTGTATTTTTTCAAGAATCACTAAATACATAGCAGAAGCACCAGATCAGATGTGACAGCAAGATTTAATCCATGTAGACTAATAAATAAATCCATGGACGAATGGTAGACTAATAAATAAATCCACGGACGAATGGTAGACTAATAAATAAATCTATGGACGAATGGTAGACTAATAAATGCATGGCGAGAAAAATTGTCTAGCATGACACAGTGAAGCAAATTTACTAGCAGCAGGCCTAGGAATTGGTTCAATATAATCTTCCCACTAGATGTTAGCGGAAAACGTTAGCCCGGGAAGTTTCGAGGAGTCACATTTCTAGAAGTTAGCATCAGCCAAGCTGATGGTAGATAAAAAAAATTCTCTCAGAAGATTAAAAAGAGAGCAGTTTCGTTTTGGAGGCGTTAAAATTAACAAGCCAGTTCTTGCCTAGATAACAACAATGTTGATTAGCTGTCAATTTGACCTTCTCTGTGTTGCATTTTCTGTCCTCTATTAAAACACTTCCTAGATATTAAAATTTGAATTTTAAGTCTCCATATTTTCAGAAGTTATTTAGTTGAACTTAATGACACAAGTCCATGATGAAGTTTTATAATTTTAGCCTCTCTGTATTGCGCATTAAAAATTTCATAAAAATATGTTTACCTTTGTGCAAGTGTGAGATTATTGGAGGGAATCTTTAAATAAAGCCGCAAACAAATTGTGTTGTTTATAACTCAGTTGAATCTTAAACCGAAAATGTTATTCAACAGAATATTTTTTTCTTTTTTCCGCTTTCTATCCTGAGGTCATATCTAATATCTGCTAATCCTTACTAGTTGAAGCAATAATAATACATACTTACGGCCATATCAGGTTGAAACATTGACTCCCGTAAGATCAGCGAATTTAAGCAACATCGAGCCTGGCCAGTACCTAGATGGGTGACCGCTTGTGAATACTAGGTTCTGTAAGCTCATATGTGCGAGTACAGTAATGGATACAGGTTCGATATTGTTAATCGAAAGGCGAGTTCCAATTTCAATTGGGTTCATTATATTCAATCACGTGTGCAAATAGCCTTTGGGAAAAGTATAAATCCACCTATTCCCCCCACGTATGAGTTAATTAGTAAGACTTTTATCACTTAACCATTATCATCTCCCCAAAAAATTCTTTCAATCTAAAGATATTTTCTGGCTTTAAATAACCTGCAAAGTTTTGATAAGCCGTAGAATACGAATCAATCAATAAATAGTAACAATAATAATAATAATACACAGAAAATAATTTAGTCTGAATAGGAGATCAAACGTTCCATAAAATAAAACGAATACAAATAAACGCGTTTTTATTTCTATTGCTTACGTGTTTTTATCAAGCTCTGAGGAGAAAAAAAAATGTTTATTAACATACTGTTTATTTCTACCTTGAATGACAAATCGTGTAGTGAGAATCAAAAAGCCGAATCGGTCCTGCTAAGGGAAATTAAATATAATCCTCTATCTCACTATATTTCTAAAACGTTCTATATTTAACTTTTCTTTTTAGAATGATGTTCAACCCGTACAAGCCCCAAGACCCACTCGAGGTAGAGGGTTTTAAAATAAACACCCCAAGCAAGAAGATAATGCCACCAAGATGCCGGGGGCCACTGGAAGTTAAAGATAAGAAAAAGGCTTCAGAAACGAATCCTAATCAGGAAACAAGGATAAATCCCTAATCCTGTTCAAAAGACCGGAGAAGAGTGTTAACCGGACGATAGGCAAACCTATCTACTCCTATTGGGGGAAGAAAAAATAGTAAATCAATAGTAAATAAAAGTTCAGAGTTTAGGCGGAAACGTTAGAAGTATAGAATTGAAGTAAACTTTAGAAAGAACCTGAAATCAAATCCTAAACAGGAAACAAGGATAAACCCCTACTCCTGTTCAAAAGACCAGGGAGGAGTGTGAACCGAACGATAAGAGAATCTATATCTCTATCTATAAAAGCAGTGTGTGTGTGTGTGTGTGTGTGTGTGTGTGTGTGTGTGTGTGTGTGTGTGTGTAACGAATGCACGGCCGCAATTTTCGACGGTTTTGCACCAAAATTTACATGCACATACTCCAAGTTAGCGGGAAGGTCAATACCGACTTTGCATTTCCCAACTCCTATCGATAGTTAAATTAATTGATTTTTTCATGCTTCTACGGCAGTTTTCATGTAGTTTGCGGCCATTTTCTACTGGCCAGAGTGAGAGCCTATAGCTGGTTGCCGCGAATAGGCAGGAAGATTCTACTGGCCAGCATGAGAGCCAACAGCTGACTGACACGAATGTTAACTAGCATGCTAGCATGCAAAAAAAATCGATAGCTGCATTCGTCACATCGGCATGGCACTTTACTCCAATTGGTTCATTCGCTTGCTTAAACTGAACGTTGATTCTGATTCCGCAGAACTGGGTTGGATGTGAAAAAGTATTTTTTGTTAACATTCTTTTTTCATTCGGTTTTTCCAATTACGAGTCGTTTTTTAAAGCTGATCGTTTTGTGTTCATTTTGTTTAGTTCTTTTTTCGTAACAGATTTAATGTTTAGTATAGAGCTTAGAAAAAAATTTGCAGTGTGAGATAGGTAAGAAGTAAGGCATGTAGCAACATCAGCATGGCAAAGGGCACTCCTTTAAAGGCAAGGAAGGGCAAAAATATTTTAAGTCAAGTGATAGCGATTGCTGTTGAATCAAGCACGGGCAACGCCGGGCCATACTGCTAGTGAAGATATAAGAATTCAACAGTTAACTGTAGCATGAAAATGTACAATTTACATGCAAACTATAACGAAATACTTAATGTACGATAATAATGATAGTTGGTCTAAATGTATAAAGGATCCAAAAAGGTGGGTAAAATATACGACTAAATAATAACGTTAGAATACTGTAGCGTCACACCCATGTTGTATAGGCGCGATCAGACGTTAAATAGGAACCGTTCTGGAAATGTGAGTTTAGATCCCGGCGAAATTTTGGAAATCGAAATACGCAATAATTTTTTTTCTTATTTACCTCATTTCATCATCATCATCATCATCTTGTGGCCTCAGCCGAGATTGAACTCACTACACCTCTCCAGTATTCCCTATCCGTCATAGCTCCTAAAAGATCTTCCTTAGGGATCAACGTGTCTTGTTTTATCCTATCTGGAAAGGTTAACTTGCATGATCGATTGTCAGGATGATGGGTGCCTCCAGAGTACAAATGATGACGCAAGTTCATCTGTGGCACGTGCACAATGCCCGGCGAATTGGACACGTCTTTTGCAAACTAAGGTTCATACTCTCGGCAAGTCACCATATATCATTTCTAGAGTTGGGCGGTTTCGCCATGAGAGATTAAGCACTCTTCTTAAAAGACGTGTATATCATCCATCATTTACATTTATACTATTGTCTTTATCTGTGTTATTATTTATTACAACGTTTCGACTGTTGTACCTTTGTACCTTCTTCAGCTGCTTGTCGATCTGGGTAATCTTTAGGAAATTTCATATTAAACTCTTTATTTAATTTAGGGAGCTAGATTGTTCTCGTTCTGCTAAGCGTTCCTAGGGATATTTTGGTTTTCTATTGTTTTAGTTATTCCTCACCTTGTCTCCCGTAATTCTAAATCTGAAGAAGATACCTGAAGAAGATACCTGAGAACACAATGGTAGAAACGTTGCTATAACCACAACAAAGATGAGGGCAATAATCAGAAGGTAAATCATATAAGTAATATCTTCTCATTCTATGAATTTAATTTTTTTTTTTTTCATGTTTTGGTAATATTCAAATATTGAAGAAGAAAAAGAGTGATGGAAATGTCGACTTACCTTTAAGTGGAAAGTTAATCCTTTTCACTTGGCTTGCAACATTGGGGAAATTTAAGATGGTCACTGTATATATGAACCATAGATTAAAGCACATGACCCAAATCTGTCGAAATAAAAAAATCATTAATATTAGACAAAGAGATTTTCAAGTTCATCTTATAAGATTAAAATTGCAGTCATATTATTTAACTGTATTTTTTTTAATCATTTCATCCCAAGCAAGGCGGGAATGCTACTAGTATGCAAGGGATCACAGAGAGTGAAAGTAGAGAGAAAAGACTGGGTATACGGCAGATTGAGGAAAGGATAAAAGATTAAAGGGATTGAAGAAGATAGCTGCTGATTCGTCTTGCATTTGAATTTTTAAAGATTCAGGGAAGCAAATAAGCATTCGAGAAGTGGCGGCTACATTTAACTATTTCAACACTAGACGGGTGGGACCTAGATGCCACGCTTAAATTCATGCAATCAGAGCACCAGAGAAAAAAGCGTAGTATTTCTGTTAAGAAAGGTAAAATAAGGAAAAGGCCTGGGCGCAGATTAATATTTGGGTAATGAGCACAAAAAAGACCTCACAAAAAAAATTTAGCTAATGCACTAATCATACATAGAAATAAATTCAACCACAATTTTGATTTTAAAAATGCTACACTCATAAAAAAGGAAAATGACTCACTCATAAGGAAAATCCTCGAGAGTTCCGCCATTGAATATTACCCAAATATTAATCTATGCCCAGGCTTTTTCCCTATTTCACCTTTCTTAAGAGAATTACTACTATCCCAAACAAATGTAAAGAACAGTATCAAGAAATCAAAGGAAAATTGTTGAATCCGTCAATATAGCAATAAAAACAATATCTCCACACGAGACAGTAATTGACGTAATTTTAAGTTAACAGTATGAAAATAGCGTTCTCTAAATTCTTCCAGTTTCTAAGGGCATTTTTTTATTATTAGTTACTTTGTTTAATAAATTCATTTCGTTTTTTGCTTTGAAAAAGTTCACATCAAACTAAACGCGTCGACAACTATTACAGTTTTCCTATTGTTTTTTACATTTAGAAATGTATATCTATTAAACATATTAGTTATTTTTTCATTTCTTTTTTAATTTATTTCACCCCAATCAAGGTAATAAAGCCACTAAGGTACAAGGGGTTACGGAATGTAAAAGAATAAGAAAAAAGAGAGACCCTATTAAAGGGCAAGAACAATAAAAGAATAAGGATCAAGAAGACATTAGATGATGATGTATCTTTAAAGAGTTTACAAACAGACAAAGGTGGTACTCGAGTGATTGAACAACAACATGCGCGTAGATGAAAGAAGAGACGTTTATTGTAAAAGAGAATACACTACTAGAAGACAGGGAATCGGGTGGCAGGCTAGTAATTTCTAAAGCAAGGGTATTTACGTTCCCTCCACGCGAGGCAGGATGTGGCACAAGGCCGTTTTTTGAATGCGGATTAAAACCGAGCCCGTAGGCTTTAGCAAAAATTCCTCGTAGACCCCGTATACACGTGGTCGGGTAGGTGTCTACCACTCCAGATGAGACGCTGCCCTTCAGCATAGCCTTGTCGGGGTTCCTCCCTGTCCGAAGGTAGAGAATTCGACCAGAACCGCTGGAGACGAATTTCCAACTAATCCCCGAGGCAAGCCCTCAGGTATTTCTTGTGCTCACTATATATAGCTACTGATATGGTCAGTTCACATGCGTGATAGTGAGTGTGCGACATTCCATTAGAACAGATAACAATTGATATTGCATTTAAATATTTGAAAATCAAAGTTGGGTGTAAAAGCATCGAGCCGGAAGAGAGAAGAAACTGTTAGCATAGAACTTACGGCTGCACCTAGCCAATGCATTTCTAATTTGATGAATCCTTTTTGTCAATCTAGCACTGCACTTAAATTCATAAAGTCTGGGTACCTTAAGGGAAATTTCATCGGAATAATTACCATGAAAGTATAGAAAACGCACAGGGAAGTTCCGTTACGATGGTGGGACGGAGTTAAGCCGAGATGACAGGTCAGGACCAATAACATTGAGGATTCTTATTTGTTTCTTTTTAAGAATCTGTGAATATATATCAGGAGCACCGGAACAGATGTGGCAACCATATTGAAAACAGGGACTAATGACAGACTTATGAATATGGAAGATAGATTCTGGTGTGAAAAAATTGCTTAGCACGACAAAGTGAATCAACTTCCCTAGCAGCCGAGCTAAGAATTGATTTAATATAGTCTTTCAACTTCATATCAGCAGAAAATATTATCCCGAGATGACTGTACGAGTCACTCTCCTGGAGGTTAGCATCAGCCATGTTGAAAGCAAGCAGAAATAATAGAGAGAAGTTTCGTTTTGGTTCTGGTGACGTTGAAATTAACATGCCATCGTCTACTATTATGAAAGTCATTGCTGTTTATACTTCGGCGGAATCCCCCCCCCGTGGAATCAACGGCCACTTGTCCTAGACCAAGGTGAGCCTTCAAGTTGAAGGATATTCGCCAGGTCTAATTTCTCCAGATACACTATGCATGAATGAATATGTTTCCGGCTGTCAACCCAGATGTATAGAAGAAATTTGCTTGATTCATGTTTTCTCAGTTACGCAACGACTCTTCGATTACTTCTCGTCATGAAACTAAAGATGATGATGATGATGATGATGGCGATGGCGGTGGTATGTTTAAAAGAAAATCTACTAGATGTTACACACGATTCCTAAACGTCAGGTAATTTATTGCCCATCAAAATTTGACCCACATCAATTTTGATGGGCATCTGTTGATATAATTTCTCTCAATGGATGAAGAGAGACTCAATAATCTGTATTAGGTTGTTAGGTTAGTTAAATTGTGTTCAGTGGTTTATTTTTTTAAATGCTATGTAAACGATTACGAGGTAGTAGCACAGTGAAAAAATGGATAGCGACTCGGATTGGGAAATGGGAGAGCCGAGTTCGAATTTTAGTCGAGTTTATTACATTCGTACTAATACTCTTGGGAAAAGTATTAATCCATCTCGTCTCCCCGCACCCTCGCTACTTAAGTTATATGTCAATAGCCGGACATACTGGTTCCTAAAGCCTTGGTAAGCGACTAGTCTAGGAGAAGGAACACTCTGAAATCAAACCAGCCTAGAGAGGTTTTTGATCCGTTGAAACATCACTGCTACTGGGATTACCCAACGACCCTAATTTTCATATGGAACCATTGTTTGTTTTGTTTTTGTTTTTTTCTTTTTAATTATCTGTGGAATATTACGACTTCTTACGAAAAACAGTGTAGAAGCACCTGGTTGACTTCTCCGAGGTTTTGTATTAGCGGTAGTTCTTCTCTTAGACTGGCTAACATGCAAGGCTAGATTTCATTACTTTTTAACCCCTGACTAGAGGAGAAGGAAGAAATTCATCCATGTTTTTAAATATATATGTATTTGTGAGAAATTGAACGCAACAGACTAGGCCGAATTTGAACTCGACTTGCCGAATCTATTTTCCATACCTATAATCATTACGCCAACCGAACACCCTGTCCACTTTCTTGGGACTTTACTCAGCTCTTTATCGCTTATGTAATTAACGATCTATTGATTAAAGCCTTAGCAGAAATACACAAGTCAAGAAGAGGTCTTATTTTTCCGTTTGAACATAAGAAAACGGACAACAGTTAATGCTTCATCTTCATCTTCTTGCCTGACATAGAAAAAAAAATCATTCTTGAACAAGATAGTTACTGTTAACGAAAAATGGTTTTATTATTCCTAAAAAATACGGACACGTTAAACTATATGTAACCCACATAGAATGACTAACTTATAAATAACTAACAAACGAGGGAGAGAGAAAGGATGACAAAATAAATACACTATAAAGAGGTGAAGCGAAAGAGAAAAAAATAAATAAATAAAAAAGGGGGCTAACTAGTTTCGAACCTGCCTCTTCAGTTTTTGCTCTTGTTGAAAGTCCTCAAATGATGTGGTTTCTGTAAATCTAATAAAGTTCTTTGTTTGTGAATATATAGCGCTAGTTTCACAAGATTCAATGGTGATCTTCAGCAAAACTCACAGACTTCACTTGCTCAAAGCCATTTTTAATCATTGATCTGGGAAAGCGATTGTATATAAGTGACAATTTAGATATATCTGAACGAGTTCGGTACTATGCATGACATCCATGCATGAGAGTCACAATAATGCTCTTAGGAAAGGCATGAACTCACATTCCATTGCTCTATACCTCATTGTTAGATATCTTGACATAAATGTCTTGCCTCTGACGGGACAATGATTGATATAACTACGTTACCATCTTGCCGTAGTAATAATACATATCTCTTTCACTTGTCGTCAACCTTGCCAGGAACTTCTCATGCAGCATATGTTCGTTTTCTTGATAAGACCTAAGCTCATAAAAATTCTTACATTCAACTCATGGGTGTGTTCTATATCAATGCATTTAGGTTCGGTTTTACAAGTTAAAAATAGTAAAAACGCCGACATTTCAAACCCAGACAGATAATAATTATAATTACTATTAACGTATTTTATTTTATGAACTAAGAACAAGCATTTTACTAACTTCTTTGATTTATTCAGTAACGACAAATGCAGACGACATGGCAAAATATGTTCTAGCAACTGGGGAACTTTTCGTATAAGCAGATAAAACTTCTTTTTTTTTTAATTTTAATACCGTCTTAGTTTAGTATCAGTCAGTTATGTGCCGTGCGTGATACACGCTTAGGCGATCATGTATCTTTCGATACATGACTGACGAGGCAGATTTGTTTCCCGCAGTAGGTTGTCATTTCTTTCTGCGGTAGACCAGTTACCATCAAAGGCTATAGAACCCGGTCTGTCCTGCTATTTACCCATAGCTGGTGGGGAGAAGACAAGGATTCATACTTTTCCTAAGGGTAAGAGCACGAAAGTGAGTGAATTCGTCTGGAATTCGAACTCGGCTCTCCGATTCCTCAATCCGAACTGCTATCCGTGCCTCCTCTTAGATTAATATATGAATGCGAAATCACAAAATATATTTTTTCCTATTCTTAAAAAAACACGGCCATGTTAAAATGTGTGCAACACACATACAAAGACAAACTTATAAAAAATAAAAGAAAGCGGAGGGAGAGCAAGAATAATAAAAGCGAAAGTGGAGTAAAACACACACACACACACACTCATATATATATATATATATATATATATATATATATATATATATATATATAAAAATAAACCCTCTCTAAACTCGACCATGTCTCTCACACCACTCCTCGCTACCCTCTCTGTAAAATTACATAAACTTAATACTACCCGTCAAAAGTGTGAATTTTCATTTCATCTTTCGTTTCATTTTTTGGAAGTGTTATCTGATGATCCAGCGTCCCTTAAAAGGGCTCTGGTAAATAAATTATTATAATGGAACCTTAAAGTGGTCTGTTTTTCTTTATATATATATATATATATATATGTGTGTGTGTGTGTGTGTGTGTGTGTGTGTGTGTGTGTGTGTGTGTGTGTGTGTGTGTGTGTGTATAAATATAAAATAGGAAGGAACTGGTTAGGTAAATAATCCAAAGTTCCTTAGTATTTTAGTTATTATTTTTAAAAAATAGTGCTCGATACAAAAGTAGAGCATAAATATAATTATTTATTAAAAATATGATTCCAACTCGCGACATAACAAGAGCCGAAAACTCAAAATAATTATTTGAATTAAATTGAGTTAAAGTAAGCTCTGTTCCATCTTCAAGCGAAATTTTTTTTTGGAATAACGTATTTCTGAAATTTACGTGTTTTAATAATTGAAATCAAAATTTCACGGTAACAGCTAGGGCGAATTGTTTAAATTGGGTAGGCGTGTGTTGGGTGTTAATAATAAGTATCAGTATAGAGTTACTTTCATAGATGTCAAGTCAGGGAAAGGTGGGGGTGTCTAAATTTGAAACGGAAGATGTATTCACCCTAGTCTGGTATGCATATCTATGGAGATTTATTTTTTTTTTTTTTTATGATGAAAGGGATTTGTGCAGATAAAAACTGCCGTAACGTTTTATATTTTATATATATATATATATATATATATATATATATATATATATATATATATATATATATATATATATATATGATAAACATTGTTTTCAGTTATGCTATATTTAAAAAAGCCTAACCGGTTTCGAGATTCTATCAGTTAATGAGTAGGACTTGTAAAAAAGTTCTTACAATGTGAAAATCCTTTCTAGCTTTAAAAATCTGCAAAATGTTCATAAACCATAAAAAAATCAATCTATGTTAATCTAAAGAAACAATTTGCACTAATTTTTATATTCCTTTAATAAAAAAAATTGTATTTGATAGAAGAGGTGACACGTCACAGTTAAATGATTCTTTTCTTCTTCATCTTCTATGTCTCATGGCCCTTCATGATCTTGGCGATTATGGCTCTCCACAATTTCCTATCCATTGTAGCTCTTATATGTTGCATTTTTGTTATCTCTCCTAAACACTGCTCTGTCATCACTTTCACAAGCTCGTTAGGTTGACTATACGCAGTTTTCCTCTGTCTATAAAGCCTTCAATCCGTCCTGTGGGTATCAAATTTTCTACGCCCTCTTTCCTCATTATTTCTTTTTCTGATGTTAAGTATAAATGTTATTTTTTATTTCCATCTTCGTGGTTACTCAAATGTTCAGTCTATGATAGTGATAAACTCAACATCCTTCTGTAGAACTACATGTCTGTCACTTCAAGTCTCTTCTTCATCTGTGTTGAGATTGTCCAGCATTCACTGCCACATAATAGTGATTTTCCAAGCTTAGCTTAGATGTGGCACAAGGCCAAAAGTAGGGGGCTCCCATGGAGGATCGAACTCACTACTCAGTCGTAATTGTTCTAGCGAGACAATCTTGCTAAGCATTACGCCACCTCTAGTTGCCCAACTGCCACGTAATAGTAGCAGTAGTCATGTCTTTGTTTCTAGCGAAATTTTTCCTGTTTCTTCATACTTCGCTTCGCATTTGGGAAGCATTTTTCGATACCCGCAATACACCTTTGGGTGTCGGTGTCGCACGTTCCTTCCTCTGTTAAAACTTCCCAGATATTTACATTTTTCGACTCGCTTGATTTTGGTATTTCATGTTTGGCTGTTCCTTTTGCTCGCAACCATACAACCCATCTTCTTGAAGTTGATATTTAGTCCTTTCTTCTCGCTTTCCTTCATTGCCTTTCTTGTTGGAGTTTCCTGTAGTTTTCTTTCTGTGACTGCATATCTCATGTTGTTAAGATTGTGGTCACCAATAATGAATCCGAATAGGACTTCGGCTCAGAATGAGAACTCGGAAAGCCGAGTTCGAACTCCATTCACTTTATTCACTTACGCACAAATACCCTTAGAAAAGGTATGAATCCATGTCTTCTCCCTCTCCCCACCTATGGGTTAAATAGTAGGACAGAGTGCGTTCTTCTGATTCGTCAGTCATGTATCGAAAGATACATGATCGCCCAAACTTATATAATGTGTGGCACTTAACTGACTGTAATTTAAGAATCATCTCAAGTATAGGTTAAATAAATCCGTCGAGAAGACACATCCTTGTCTTACACCCCCTTTCTATATATGTATATTTATTGAATTTATTTCTATCTGTGTGCAGTCATTTTTATCTCAGTTATACTAATATTCTACTCAAATACTTCAGGGTTACCTTGAAGTAATCAAATGTTTTTGCATAATCTATAAAACCTAGATATAAATTCTTTCGAAATTGTATTGTTCTTTCTGATAAGTGAAACTAAATATTTTCAGCTAAGGAGAAAAGCGGATCAAACAGACCAACATCCACCTCATGATGATGTTTTTTTTTATTATTTCAAGCGTCTTTTAAGTCTAATTTCAACTCGAAGATATCATTAAAATGTTAAGTATAAGTAGCAAAAAATGTCTGTTTCCAACACTCCATACAAATCCGTAGAAATTTTCATTTCTACAAATATTTTCATGGCAACAGCTCTGGCCAGCTTTTTTTTTTTTTTTTTTTACTGATGTCTCGAATACATGAGTTTAAGCGTGTTACTAGATTGGCATCTAGGTCCCACCGTTTTACTGTTGAAATAGATAAATGCCACCACCACTTCTACCCCAAGAGTTTCGTTTCTCGCACTACCCACCTGTTGAACTCCCTTCCATTTACTTGCATCCCTAATAGCTACAATTTTCAAAAATTTAAATGCTGCATCAATCGCCATCTTCTGTCTTCTTGAATCCCGTTCATCTTTTGTCTTTTCTTCAATCCACCCTATTCTCCGTCTTCTCTTTTATTTTCACTCCCTGTAACCATCTGTGCACTAGTGGCATTCCCGGATTAGGATTAAGTAATTTAAAAAAAAAATAATTTCAAGAATATTTACACCAACCTTCTTAAATATTTTCCAAAATGGTGGTCGGAATTTTTTTTCAGTGTGGCCTGATTTCTTCAACACCTGTGATTTGTGATATAGGTACAAAGGCTGTAAAAAAAGTACAAATATGGTATTATATAATAATAATAATAATAATAATAATAATAATAATAATAAATTTAGATTATCTTTTGCTAAATAAATAAATAAACAATCGACCCGTCTGTCTGAAGTACAACATTTTTAAGCAAGTTAAAGTAAAGTGTTCAATATTAAAAAATAGTTATTATTATTAACAGTAAACAAAGTGGAATATTTATCTTATACTTAATTATAACTAATATTCAACAAATTATTAATATTTCGTATACTTTACAATATTAACCCCAAGCAAGGCAATAAAGCCATTAGAACGCAGTATTAGAGAATGGGAGAACAAAATATTATTAAAGTGAGAGGAAAGTAAAATAACAAGAATTAGAAATAGATAAGATAACGATTGTAATTGCAATTAAATTTTTGAAGATCAAAATTAACTGGGAAGCGAGAAGTGCGACAGAAGAAACTGTTAACATAGAACTTACATTTACATCTAGCCATTTCAACTTTAAAATAATGAGACCTCCCCGCCAATATGGTACTACGTTAAAATTCATAAAATCTAGTTACTATAACGGAAAGCTCATCTGAACAATTACCATGAAAGTATTTATAGAATATAAATATAAGGGAAGCTATATTACGGCGGTGGGAAAGTGAGTAAAGCCAATATACCAGGTCAGGGCCAATAACGTGCCAGATTCTTGTTTAGATTTCATAAAGAATCTCTAAATATATAGCAAGAACACCGGACGAGATGTGACAGCAGTATTTAAAGATAGGACGAATGGTACATTTTTAAATATGTAAGATAGATTCTGGCGATAAAAATTGTCTAGCACGGCTCACTGAACTAACATTCCAAGCAGCAGACCTAGTAATTGGATTCAAGATAATCTTTCCATTTCATGTCTGTAGAAAAAGTTAGTCCGAGAAGGAGAATTTTATCACTTCCCTGTAGGTTAGCATCAGCCATACTGATGGAAGGTAAAAAGGGTTCTCTCCGACTTTTAAAAGAGACTAGTTGTCATACTTTCACCATGATGGATTCAATTGACACACTTCTTTATGTCTAAGTATCTTGAAGGTTACCTTTTTGTTTCAGTAATGCATTAATGCCTAATAAACCTCCCTTTTTTGGCTAGACATTTCTGATTTCCATCTTTTTTGATAAAATAGAGAAATTTGTTACTGAATCCATGGAGAAAGTAAGCTATTTTCAATGGTTCAGCCTCGATGTGAAGTTATCTTTATTATTAATAACTTTTTTTTAATAGCTTTCTTAATTTCTTCATAAGCTTATTATTATTTATGTTTGGAGACAGACTTTTCAATGTTTGTATGAATATTGGCATATGTTCTATTCCTGAGGGAATCTTAAGTTTAGTGTGGTCAAGGTTGAAATGTAGGGCAAAGTATTTTTTTAGACCAGGACACTTCTTAAAAAATTAACAAGTCATTCAAAATTAACAAGTCATTTTTTAAAATTAACAAATAATTCCTTGCTCCAATTAACAACTGAAAGTAAATCATTTTTTACGCCAGCTGCCAATTTGACTTTATCGAACGAACCGATCAGATTGTTTTATTAAGACAGAAATAAATGGTTGTATCATCAGCATAGATACCGTGTTGAGAAATGATGCCATCAAGAGGGTCGTTGATGAAAATTAGGAATATCGTGGCTCTAAGGATAGAACCTTGGGGGATACCTGCATTAATGTAAATAGATCTCGAAGAGTAGCTGTTCAAGATTACTTTCAATTTGACTTAAATTTAGTCACTTATTTTTTTTACATACATGCCCAAATAAACATGCACAACAAATAAGAATAATTTTTAAAAAAAATTGAAAATTAAAAAATAAAGAAACATTTATTCTTACTCTATAATATAAACTGCATTTGCATCAAGCCAACCACGCTTTTAAATATTACGATAATATGAACATAATGAACATCTTTAGCAAATATTTAGAGAAGTCCAGTAGATTTACTATCCAATAAATTATGAAGTTAGAAACCTTAAAATATTAACAGTTTACTTAAAACTTATTTACTAAAATTCTTTTTTCACACATTCCATTTGATAACGAAAAAATGTCTTAGATTATATAAAAATTATCATTTTCTTTATAAATATACAGTCTAGTATTGGGGCGCCAGGGTCAATTCTTTTGTTTTTGTTGTTCACGGAAAACATTTTTGTTTAAGATCAAAAGATGAATATGAGACAAGAGTTCAGAATTTCAGCTTTTATTTCATGATATTTACATTTAGATGTGTTAAACAACTTAGAACATACCACCTTTTGTTTGAACCCACCTATTTTTCAAGTTGAACATATGACTGACGCTGAAATTCTGAACTCTTGGCTCATATTCATCTTTTGAACTTAAACCCAAAAGTCTTCAGTGAACAATAAAATCAAAGGAATTGTCCTTGGAGGGGATTGTACATATATATAGTCATTTTAATAGATACTGTTTTTTTTTTTAATTTTTAAACATTATGTATTAAGTATATCAACCTGTCTATTTCATCAAACCTTTCGGGGTGTCTATTTCAAGCAGGCGTATACACTAAAATAACGTTTGAAATAATAAAAATATTGGATTAGAAAGTCAATTCTTTAGAAAAAATATATAGAAAAACATATATTTCTTTCTCTCTCTCTCTCTCCCTCTCTCTCTCTCTCTCTCTCTCTCTCTCTTTTATATATATATATATATATATATATATCAGAGACGCTACTTGGTTTCAGTGGGGAAAAGACAGAAAAACAGAAGTGTTTAATATCTTTTAATAATTCATAAATAATGGACTATTCCTTTTTGATTACGTGAGAAGAAAATGCCACATCAAATACGCTACTTGAGCAGTGTGCCAGTGAAACTTTGAAGACGGTTAAAAGATAAGTCGATTGATCTTTTATTAATTTGTCGGCTACAGATATATATATATATATATATATATATATATATATATATATATATATATATATATATATATCAGTATGTACAGAGAGATAGAAAGAGTGAGAGAGATTAAATAAATTACAAGACTGAAATCTTCTGACGCATTTCGTTCAATAGGAACAAGTCAAGTTCGTTGAAGTAATTAAAATTATACGCCCAAAAAAGAAAAAAAAAACTACAATAAAGATAGACTACGTTTTGCAGAAAGACGTTAGAATGAGAGTCACCATATTTAAATATAAATTTTAACGTCGAATATATCTAAATTATAAACTTATAATCTCGTTCAGTTTTTAATACTTCTGTTTTTATTATTTTAATTAACTCGAATTTTTATTACTTTCTTTTTTATTGTTTCTTGTTATGCGACCTATTTATTATTTCTATTTTTATTGCATTTGATAACCCTACGTTATATTAACCATAGCCTGATGCAAATTGGAAATATGTAGTATTATCCTGCGTTACATTGTACCGTACAAATATCTGAAAATGTTGCACACTGAACATGTTTCGTTTAAATAAATTTCTTTTTTTTTTTTAAATAGAACTGCAGTTTGTAAACTGAAACTATGGTCACATATATTAAGATTTTTTAAAGTCTTTCCTGTGTTCGCATACTTGCTATTTTTTAATTTCTAGATGTCTCATGTTTCAAGTGGCATATATTTATGTAAATCTAATTTGTTCATTCCGGCTTCAGGTTTAATACTAGCATTTTACGTCTATTGTTTTTGAAGTATTTTTATTGAATTCTGCATAAAAATTCGTTCCATTTAAAGACTTTAGGGAGGGAGTAAATTTCACGTTTAGTATTATGAATCTTAGTGGATGTTGTACACTTTTCGTTTTGCATTATATATGAATAAATTAGAATAATGATGGCGCTTAAAACTATTTTCAGTATATCTCCCTCCTTCGTGTAGCTACTGAAGGCTAAAAGATCTTAATGCTCTATAATTATTCTGTTTTTTTTTATAGTGGATTTAGTGGATTATTAGGAGTAAATATGTGTCAAGAATCATATAAAATATCTACATTCCCGATCAGTACAATGTGGAATAATTCAAAGCAATTAAAATAGCAGCAACAAAAAGGTGAATGTTTAAATTTAAATTAAGTCTATATTAAGTTAAAATGGACATTAAAATTTAAATGTAGAGAGTTTCTATAACATTTAATGTTCTGGTGCGTGCTATAACTGACATTAACTGCAGTTTCTTTATATATATATATATATATATATATATATATATATATATATATATATATATATATTTATATATATATATATATATATGTGTGTGTGTGTATGTGTGTGTGTGTGTGTGTTACTTCAAATGTTGTTACAGCGGATACGTCGTATTTAAAATAGACGTCCTGTTTTTATTTATTAAACAGTGTGCCTGTACTAGTTTGCGCATTCGGGAAATTTTAGTAAAGAAAATGTGTTCTCTGACAGTGATCGAACCTGCGTTCACCTTTGTAGGGGAAACTAGCGTTTCACCCGGCGTGCTTTCTTTACTAAGATTTCTGAAATGTGCAATAGACGCTATACGGACTGTTTAATAAATAAACATGGGGAGTTTATTTCAGATATGAAGTATTGTCTATAATAACGCTTGAACAATAAAAAATGTCGGAATAAAAATGAATCCATTAATTCTTTGGAAACTGTTTTGTTTACGTTTCGGATACGAAACTGAGTAGATATGGGCTCTCGAGAAAATTGATGAAGATGTACTTTCCCTAAGAAGGGAAAAAAGAACCATGACTATGACGATCTTCATGAACGAGCGATGCGGTAAAAATGGCGCGGCTATTTCAAATCAGAATTATCCAATATATATATATATATATATATATATATATATATATATATATATATATATATATATATATATATATAAGTCGTCGAATTCGATGTATGAGGGTCAAGCAGATCAGTTCCTAGGAAACCGACAGCCCGACAACAACACATGAGATTTGATTATAGTGGTGAAGGTTTCGTGCAGGACCATCTACACATTTT